TCTGCTGTGTTTACATTCAGAAAGTGCAGTTTTTTGAATTTGTAATCTTTTCTAAAATGCCGATTTCTAATCAAGAAGCATTTAATATGCTGGCGGCGATGGTTCGTGGTCGATTCGGATAACGCAAATAGAAAATGCGGGCAGCGATGGTCGCATTTTGAAAATACTCAAAATATATCGCCAGCATATCAAATGCTTCTTGGTTAGAAATCGGTATTTTAGAAAAGATTAAAAATTCAAAAAACTGCACTTTCTGAATGTAAACACAGCAGAATAATTTACAAATTACGGCTGTTATTACTTTATAATGCATCATGTTTCATTTGTTTAATTTTTCAAGGCCTACCTAAAAGTGTAGGGTGCTTTTCTTTCGCGCCATCGACAAATACCGGAAATACGAAAAAGTAAATTTAAGATACAAGTTAAGCATTTTTTTAATTAGGTAATTCATTAATCTCATTTTCCCAATATTTGAGGTTAGGAACGAAATTTTGAAAAACGGTTTTCACTGGCCTCTTTGGATGTTATTTGGCTATTTTTTCATAAAGAAAAAATCATATCATTCCATTTGATTTTTTTAGGATTTTGGGTCATAGTGTCGAAACTAGCCTCCTGGCGGAGAAGGATCAGTGACGGACCTATGGGGGGGCAGGTTGCCCCTCCAATACTTAACCAGTTGGCAATTTTGACAAGAGTTGGTAATTTTCATTACCAGTTGGCGAAGCCGCGAAAGTATCGTAAATGTAATAAATCGACTATTGAAGGAATGCAGAATTACGGCAAAATCTATAAAAAAGGACTCTTTAATAGGAACGTCACTTCCTTCTTCTTCAACACAAGGTTGGTATTTTGGTATTGCGTTTAATTAGTATTAGAGACCGAATATTGATATCCTACATTTTCTACATGATTTATTAGACTACCCGTTTGAGTTGGAAATTTTTACAGTTGAGTTGGCAAAATGTCATGTCTGCCCCCCCAATTTTTTTGTCTAGGTCCGTCCCTGAGAAGGATTCAACTAAATTAACTATATTTTGGTTGATTCTCATTTCCCAAGGAATGCTCTTTTCAACCATATCAAATTTGTTAAAATCGGTCAATCGGTTAAGAAGTTAAAGCAGGTTTTTGCAAAAACAATTGAACGCCCCACACCATCTTTGTTTTTGAAATAACTGAGTTTTTGTTTTTACGAAAATGATAGACAAACTGATTCTCTTTAAAAATGTGAAAACAATTTTTTAGTTTATTATGCGAAATGTACAGAAAATGCAATTTTAAAATTTTAGAATGGCAGTTACGCCCACTGTTAGTCATTTTTAGAACTTGAAAATATTTTCCAGCGATTCTTCATGACCGATTTACCCAATAATTTTTTTTTACCGCTAAGTCATATGACGAACGGTTCTAGAGATATGGCCGAGGAACAGTCTTATTGGGTCACCCGGTACATTAAAAGTATGTTCACTTATATGAGATCTGCAATTAAAATTTCGTTAATATCTTATTCGATATTATTTTCGTCTACCCTATTTGTTGAAACCAACTAAATAAAGAAAAACCCACCCTTCTACAAGGTCCATGTGCTGAGAACTCGAACCCACAGATGGACGGAATTAACGCAAGTATAAGCTGTATTATTCATAGAAAAAACGTTAAAAAGTTGAGGGTCCCAAAGAGATCTCTCTAAGGTAAGTCGCGAGTCAAAATCATGTAGGTACCCAACTTTTAATACCACAAACAGAATCCCCTCCGCATAGTGCTTTTTAGAGGTGCTGTCTTATTTGTTCTACACTACTCCGGTATTTACCTTACGAATTAGGAAAACTGTAGGAAAGCCTAATGAATGTTCCAAAACTGATCTGAGGAAAATCCCATCTCTGTCACAGTTTACCTCAGCTCAGGTTCGAACACCCGACCTCTAGCTATGTAGCTCAACGCTCTACCACTGAGCTACACAGTCGGTCATATCTATCCATGTAAGATAGAAAACAGGTAAAAACTTCCTATTTTAGATATTTTTATATAGAATCCAGTGGCGTAGTCAAAAAAAGTTTTGGACCACCATTTCAGAGATTTGACCCAAAGTTGGTAGTTTTCAAATGCCACATCCTGTATAGCGTAACGTCGTTTATTTTACATTCTTTTTCCTGATTACAGTGATGTATTTCAACGACACCTATATTTCTTTAACTATTTTTAAGTGGTAGGCCATGGATTCATGGAGATTTTGTGTTGTTTATTGTATCCATGGAAAGTCAATTCAAAATTGTGAAAAATATGATACAATATAAAATGATACAGAGTGAGCAACAAAGATTGAAGCGTGCCGCTTCAGCTAAATTGGCAATGTGCCGCTCATAGCATATGCTGATTTGATACAAGATACGAAATACGAATAGACGCACGTCACCGTGACAGCGCAGAACGTCATTTTCGTATACAACTCCATACAAAGAAGGTAGTTTTGATATTAATAGGAACAAGCGGTGATGACGCACGCTTCAATCATTGTTGCTCACATTGTATAAAAAAAAGTATAGGTTGTGCTTATATATCAATGTAATAGGAAAAAAAAATGCAAAAAATTGAGGTTAAGATATACAGGATGGTGCATTTAAAAAAATGCCAACATTGGGTCAAGTGTCAGAAACGGCGGTCCAAAAACTGTTTACGACTACGCCAAACTTTCCGCAATTGTTTAATAACTTCAACAAATTTCTTTCAAAGTTTCGTTCGAAAAGTTTAGGTCGCGCTGTATGAAAAATCAATATCTTGAGCGTCGTGCGGTCAAAATTACGATTTCTCATTTGATATTGGTTATATACAGGGTGTTACACGACCGTTCGAAAAAAAAAATCGGGTTGTAGAGGGCATCAAAACAAGCACTTTTTCCAAATAAACCGAGGGTCCAACGTATTTCGTTTGGGAGCCACCCCCCAAAGAGTGTTGAAATCTGCATTTCTTCTTTAATTTTTTTCTCAGCAACCATAAGAGTTACAAAGTCGGGTGGCATGTCTTTGAATAGGTTTTTGGGTGTGCTCTTTCCGATTTTGCAATTTTTTTTTCAAAATTCCTACCCCTAAAGGGCGCACCCCTAAACTAGTGTGCAAAAAAAAATTCTGATTTCGACGAAATTTGGTATCTGGGGGTTTTTTAACATGAAAATCACGAATCTGAAATTAGTTTTTGAAAATTCGAAAAAAAAAGTTCCACTGCAATTCTTGGCGGGAAAACGAAAATAGAGATAATTCCACGAAATTTGTTGTGTACATACTAAACGAGTTAAGGAACAAAACTGTCGAACAGTTTTTTAAAATAACTTTTCAAAGAAAAGTTATACTCATTTGAATGTTGGTCCTTCGGGTCGCGAAGTGTCCCAAGCCTACTAGTAAGCCATAATTTCGCATGTGTTGGTTGACAATGTCGCAAAAACAAAAGATTAACGGTTTGAGTCGATATTTTGTTATTTGGAATTAATTCGGTCATTAAATGATTAAAAAATTCGATGTATCGATTAAAACACCTACCAAGGTACATAAAAGCGCTGATCGATTATTTATTATCTAAATAAGGTAGGGGAAAAAGTCAAATCACTTTCCGTATGATACTTTTTCACTATGATCAAAAATTTTCATAATCTTAGGTTGAAAAATAACTTCCAAAAGAACACGCTCCTGGCTTACTAGTAGGCTTGGGACACTTCGCGACCCGAAGGACCAACATTCAAATGAGTATAACTTTTGTTTGAAAAGTTATTTAAAAAAACTGTTCGACAGTTTTGTTCCTTAACTCGTTTAGTATGTACACAACAAATTTCGTGGAATTATCTCTATTTTCGTTGTCCCGCCAAGAATTGCGGTGGAACTTTTTTTTTCGAATTTTCAAAAACTAATTTCAGATTCGTGATTTTCATGTTAAAAAACCCCCAGATACCAAATTTCGTCGAAATCAGAATTTTTTTNCAAAAGTTATACTCATTTGAATGTTGGTCCTTCGGGTCGCGAAGTGTCCCAAGCCTACTAGTAAGCCATAATTTTGCATGTGTTGGTTGACAATGTCGCAAAAACAAAAGATTAACGGTTTGAGTCGATATTTTGTTATTTGGAATTAATTCGGTCATTAAATGATTAAAAAATTCGATGTATCGATTAAAACACTTACCAAGGTATCTTAAAGCGCTGATCGATTATTTATTATCTAAATAAGGTAGGGGAAAAAGTCAAATCACTTTCCGTATGATACTTTTTCACTATGATCAAAAATTTTCATAATCTTAGGTTGAAAAATAACTTCCAAAAGAACACGCTCCTGGCTTACTAGTAGGCTTGGGACACTTCGCGACCCGAAGGACCAACATTCAAATGAGTATAACTTTTGTTTGAAAAGTTATTTTAAAAAACTGTTCGACAGTTTTGTTCCTTAACTCGTTTAGTATGTACACAACAATTTCGTGGAATTATCTCTATTTTCGTTGTCCCGCCAAGAATTGCAGTGGAACTTTTTTTTTCGAATTTTCAAAAACTAATTTCAGATTCGTGATTTTCATGTTAAAAAACCCCCAGATACCAAATTTAGTCGAAATCAGAATTTTTTTTTGCACCCTAGTTTAGGGGTGCGCCCTTTAGGGGTAGGAATTTTGAAAAAAAAATTGCAAAATCGGAAAGAGCATACCCAAAAAGCTATTCAAAGACATGCCACCCGACTTTGTAACTCTTATGGTTGCTGAGAAAAAAATTAAAGAAGAAATGCAGATTTCAACACTCTTTGGGGGGTGGCTCCCAAACGAAACACATTGGACCCTCGGTTTATTTGGAAAAAGTGCTTGTTTTGATGCCCTCTACAACCCGATTTTTTTTTTTCGAACGGTCGTGTAACACCCTGTATAGGTTATTTGTGTATAAGATTGTTTTTTAAATAGAGAACTTATATAAGCATTCTTAATGAAGCTACACAGATATATCGTATAAACTACATCCTTTGCAAATGCAAAGAATAAGTACAAACCGCAGTTACTCTGTGGGAATTGACGTCCTGCTTAAGTTAAACAATTACGCTTATATCGCCATTAATTACGACTTGCGTAATAAGAGTAGCGGTATTAAAAGCTGATGATATTTCTCTTTGATCCGTGTCTAGGTCGAGAAGAGGATATCGAAAATAAAATTGTTAAAAAGTAAACGCATACGGCCACCTGTTGCGCAATAGCAAAGAAAGATGCTCAAAACTCACAGGAGATCTGGTATATCAATGATGTGCTACACGCAAGATTTAAAAGCTGAGGAGGATAATGTAAGAGGCACTCCACAATAACTGTAGAATTACTTAGAGAAGAAACAAGAACCATCAATTGTTGTAGGCTGTTAGTGTCTTCATTCAATATCCATATTCCAATACCACTGTGTATGATCTATTTTTTAGCGCATTTTCCATGAAATGATCAGTGCAGGGGAGAAGGACACTGGCTTATTCTTCATGGTTCTCTAATTGAAAGGTCGCAAAGGGATCGGTTGTAATTCCCTTCCTTTTTGTAATTGGGAGGGGGGAGGGGCGGCTAAAAACTGGTATTATCCTTCATGGTATTCTAATGAAAAGTCTCAACAGCAGGAATTCATTTCATTCCTACTATCTTCGTACGAGAGTACACACAAAGGCAAAAAAGGACGTTCGGACGAGACATATCAATTGTAGACGTCAAAACTTTAAGTGCGAATATATCGCGAATGCGCGTGCGCAACCCAACTTTTGTATTTGCGCAATCCCAATTGTTTTATCTGCTAAGACAGTGGTTCTCAAACTTATTTCCATGGCGCCCCCTTTCATAAAACTAAAATTACTCACGCCCCCCCCCCC